TTGTCGTGGCCCCCACCCTCTGCCCCAAGGATCGGGATTATAATGCAAGGACCAAATCAAAAGAAGATTGAGAAATTCCAGGCCCTCCCAATCTGCGGCTCTCCCGGGGATATTCAACCCTCCTGGTTCGGAGTACTATAACCCCTCCACCTCTCTCTCCCCCTCTCTCTCCCAGAAATGATATTCCATCCTCTTTGTTTTGGGAAATCCAACCCGTCCCCCCCCCCCCCCTCCACCCACGGGCAAGCAAGTCTGAATAAAATCACTTGAAGAATATGCAATCCTTTGTTTGGTAAATCCACCAGCCCTGCCCACTCCCATACCCACCCACTGGGCATGCAGATTTGGAACTTAGAATCACTGGAAGAAAATTCCCCGACCCCCAACAACCCCTACCCGGCCTCAACCCCCCCCCCCCCACCCCAACCCAGTCCCTTCTCGCAGTAAAAAAGAAAGTCTGGTCGGGAACGTAATTGCACCACCACCGTAAAAAGACAAAAATCACTGTTGGAAAAGAAAATAATTTCAGCTTTCTTGGCATGGCTTGAACCGCACACCCTGCCCCCGCCACACCCCGGGGGTCTGAATATGATATCCAGGACAGGGGAAATGAAATGAAAGGGGTAGGCCTACTCCCAATAATGTAATAAAGGTGCATCATTCATCAGAAAACAAAAAATCTTGCTTTTTAGATTAATTTTGTTTGTTTTTTATTAGAACGCAAGCGGTGATGGCGTGATCAATTATTGAAAATCATTTGCAATTTGTGGCTGTTCCATCGAAAAATGCCAATGCATATTGCTCGCGACCATCGCACTATCAAACCGACCACCCACATGTGGCACACCATTCGACAGCTGAAAACCTCAACTATTTGGAATAAATTCATTTGAATTCGAACCAAATGTTGGAAAGAAGAAAAATAGGATTGAAGAGATGGACTCCCAGTGAGATTGGCTGAAGACGATGTCATGCGCGTAATGAAGCAAGAACTTGACAATGACGTCATCATGAGCGGAGCTGTTCGCCTAGTTGCATACGAAGGTTTCTGTGAATAGTTTGTCGGGGCCCCCACCCTCTGTCTCCAAGGTTCGGGATATAATGCAATGACCAAACTCCGCTGGATCGACGGCCTCACCAGATGGAGCGGTCTCAGCGTGGATAAACTAACTGCGGCGACCCTTCAGCGAAGGAAATCACCCCTTCACCAGTCACACAACCCAGAAGAAGTGGACGGTTGTTGCGTCAACGGGCAGTAGCCTACCACGTCTGATGATGATGATGATGATGATGATGATGATGATGAAAACAAAAGAAGATTGGGAAATTCCAGGCCCTCCCCTTCTGATGCTCCCCGGGATATTCAACCCTCCTGGTTTGGAGTACCTTAACCCCCCACCCCCCCCCCCCGACTCATGTGGCCCCACCACCTCTCTCCCCCCAAGAGCAGCACGTCTTAAGATTAATAACTAAAAGAACATAAAGGACATTCCACCCTCTTTGTTTTGGGAAATCCCCCCCCCCCACAACCCCTACCCGGCCTCAACGGGGTCCGCTCATAAGTCCAACGCCTCATAAGTCCGACAAAATCACATCCCCTAACCAAATAAAGGCCCATAAGTCCGACGCCTCATAGGTCCGACGCCTAATAAATCCGACGCCTCATAGGTCGACGCCTCATAGCTCCGACGCCTCGTAAGTCCGACACTCGTTTTTCCGTTGTCGGACTTTTGAGGCGTTGAACTTATGAGGCGTCGGATCTATGAGGCGGAATAAATAAAGTCCGACGCCTCATAAGTCCGAAATTTCGGACTTATGAGGCGTCGGACCTATGAGGCGTCGGACTTATGATACGGTCCCGCCTCAACCCCGGCCCGGTCCATGATATCGCAGTAAAAGAAAGTCTGGTCGGGAACGTCATTGCACCAAATTAAAAGACAAACTTCACTTGTTGGAAAAAACAATTTCAGCCCTCTTGGCGTGGTTTGAACACCACGCTCCGCCCCCCCCCCCCACCGCCCCATCCCCAGGGTCGGAATATGGTATCCAGGGCAGGGGAAAGGAAAAAAAGAAAGTGGTATTCCCAATAATAAAGTCACATCATTTATCAGAAAACAAAACATCTTGATTATTTGGTGACTGCTCTATGTTCCGACACCCCTATGTTCCGACAACCTAGATTGTGTTACTCCCGGTTAGGGTTAGGGTTAGGAATAGGAATATGTGCAGTCGGAACATAGGGGTGTCGGAACATAGAGGTGTAACCGATCATTTTATTAATCTTGGGTTATTATTAGAACGCGCGCGGTGCCGGCGGGCCGGATATAGCCGGCGTGATCAATAATTGACAATCATTCGCAATTTTTGGCAGTTCCAGTGATAAACTTCCATGCATTTTGCTCGCGACCATCGCACTATTAAACCGACCACCCACTTAGGCCACACCATTCACCAGCTAAAAAACTCAACTACTCGGAATTAATTCATTTGATTTCAAACAAAATGTTGGAAGGAAGAAAAACAGGATTGAAAAGATGGACTCCCTTGGACAATACGAAGTTTGAGTTCCAAAAAGGAAAACGCGAAAACAATATTTTAATCGTCAAAACTCACCCTTTCATTTTGACGCTGTCTTCGGCAAAAGGAAGCGGACATCATTCTGTTGCTTTCAGCATGTAAATTTCTGGCAGGTGCATCCTCCGATGTAGGCCTACAGTGATATTATTCATAAAACTGAAGGAGTCTGGCCGAAAATTGGCCGAAGTAGATGGCATGCGCGTCAGCAAGAATTTCATGATGATGCTATAATGAGCGGCGCTGTTTACCTAATTTGCATATCAAGATTTCTGTGTTGGTGGGGGCCCCCACCACCCACCGGCCACTAGGGTCGGGATATGTTGCAAGGACCGAAAAAAAGAAAAGGAAATGTGAAATTCCACCCTCCTCCTTTTGAGCCCCCCCCCGGATTTTAAGCTTCCTGGTTTTGAGTACTCTACCCCCGACCCCCCTCTACACTCACGAGGCATCCTCCCCACACCCCCCCCCCCTCCACCGGCAACCCCTTATGTGCACTCCCCTTCCATGGAGTCCTGATATGGTGCAGGTGTTAGAAATGAAAGACAGGAAATATTCCATTATCCTGGTTCTCAGTACCCCCCTCCCGTTCCTTTCCCCCCACCCAGGGGACCCCACCCCACCCCTCAAGGTGTTTGGATATATGCAATGGCCCTTCACCCAAAGAATGTGCATATTCCACCCACTGTGTCTTTGTTCCCCCGCCCCCACCCCATCCCCTCCCCCTCCCCCTCCCCCTCCCCCACCCCACCTGCAGGCCTCCCCCGCCCCACCCGCGGGCCATCCCCACCCCAACCCACCGCCCAACCCCGTCGCATCGGGATACAGGGGAAAAGGGACAGAAAAAAAGAGACACACACACATTTCATCAAACGGGATCCCTTTAATCAAACGGGATCCCTTTAATCTTCGTAACCGTCTTCCACTGAGCTATATATATCTCATGCACGTTGCACGTGTTTATATCACGTGATTACTTCACTATCATTCGCAATTTTGGGCAGTTCTAGCGAGCAATTTTTATGCATATTGCTCGCGACCATCGCCGTATCAGACCGACCACCCACATGTGCCACACCACTAAAAAGCTGAAAACCTGTTCTATATGGAACTAATTCAGGTTTTCCCCAACCAAATTCGAGAAGAAAGAAATTTAGGATTAAAAAGATGGACTCCGTCGAAAAATAAGAAGTTTTGGTTCCTAAAAAAAAACACGCTAAAAAATGTTTGAACTGTCAAAACTCAGGCAATATTTCATCGATTTTGACGCTTTCTTCGGCAAAAGAAAGCAGATATCATGAGCTTTTCTACTGAAAATTTCTGGCATGTTCACTCTCCGATGCATAATGATTTCATTCATAAAACTGAAGTGAGTCGGGCTGAAATTGATGGCATGAGCGCAAGCACGAACTCAACGTTGACGTCATAATGAGGGGCGTGTTGACCCCAATTTGCATAGGTGAATTTTCGCGATAAGTTTGTATGTGTTCAGGTGATCTACGGATACATGTAGTTTGTAATCTTTAGAATAAAAGCGAAAAAGGAAATACTTTGAAAATGTTCTTTACTCTGTATAGACTTTGTACACAACCACTGAAGTGGCGTCTGGATACTACATTCTTTCCCAAATACTGCTTGAGTGTATTTGCACAATGGATAACAACTATTTATGGGAAGAGAAATGTCACAGATATTACCACCTTTTAGTGTTTGGTAACCATTTTGCAAAATTAAAAGTGATATATTTGCACTAAGGTCTATGGTCTTGCCTATCAAATCAGTACGTTTGTGTCTGTTCTTTTTTTTTTGGCAGAGAGGATACCACTTCCTGGAGAGGAAGTTGGGTGGTTTGGTGTGACGCCAAAAAAACCTCCAAATGAGACTACCAGATTCATCAGCAGCTGCTTTGAGGCAGCCAACGGCGAATACAAGGGGGGGGGGGGGAAACAGGAACCATTTTTAGTAACGTCGCAAAAAGGCAGCCATTGTGTAATGTGTACACCACCCACAGAACTCGACAAAAGCACCCCCTCCCCTTGCTTTTCATATTAAATTTGGGGCGGCTAATTTTTGGACCCACTTTTTCGGGAGGCAGCCAGTTTTACCAATTTGTGCACTGTTTGTATGTTGGTGACTTCAAAGGGACATTTCTACCTATTAAGGCAAAACCCAAAACTTAAGTGAGACGCTGATTAACTTCCAGTCTGCTTTGGAGTTTTCCAATACCGAACACTTGAAGAACATTCCAGCAGCAGTCTGAGAACTTGGGTTTTATGATGAGGAACCAGTTGAAGAGAGTTGGGATAAACATGTATAGCCTTTTAGGATAGAAGCAACTTCAGTTGTACCGACTACCGGCAATCGACGTGTGTGATTCAGAAGGAGCAGTGATCTCATGTTTGTGGACTTTTCCTGAGTCATTTATCTTTTGACTCGTGGATAAAAATATGACGTCATCATGTTTAAGTTGAAAAGGGGTGCATCTGATTCTGTGGTTTTGTTTTGGCTCAAATTCAAACATAAATTCTGTCTTAATACTTGATGGCATTATTTTACAATCATTTCCAAGTTGGGAAAAAAAATCTCAACATATATAAAACCTGCAAACATTGTATTAACATATGTAAACAATTCATTATTTGTAGTTAACAACAACAGGACATTTTAATGCTGCAATAAAATACTTCGTTTATATTCAATGTGTTGGTATATACCTGAGTTTTACCAAATGTTAGAATCGTGTTATATTTCACTATAATACAAAACAATATGAGCAAATACTGCATGAATTCAAGAGCAGTTAACAAATAGTACCAGAGAATTTTACATAACACACTGAATATTTTTTTAAGCAAAGGAATGCCCAAACAACTATCATGAAGTTACAGTCAGCCTGGTAGGAATGATCATTCTGATCTTCAATTTGCACAGTAATCGTTTTGTCTGCCAAACTGACCCCATATTAGGCCATTATTTTAGGACTCCAGAAATAGATTTGCTAATCACACTCATGGGAAACTGACTTATCCTTGTAATATAACTTCCCTCATTTTCCCCACTTCCTAAAAAGCGTGGGTGTAGGTCTCCATATTGATGGAATAACGAATTAGTCAAAACCTAGATGTGTATTGCCAACAACTATGTATATTTCCCCAAAAGACTTGTGATGATTTGGTTTGGGGTATTGTTTCAAACACAATCCATTTTTGTACAGGCTTTATGGACAGTGCTTTGAACACAGCTGAATAACCCTTTGGCATTCTGTCTTTTGGTATCTCGTAACTCCGAAATTCAAAGGGTCAAAGTAGACCTAACCTGGATTTAATTTAAAAGTACATTGTACATGTATAAATTGAAATTTTTACTCATTCATTGTTTGTAGGTGTATATTTGTGTCGTTTATTGAAGTTTTCATCAGCAATGAAATAGCTGTGAGCCCAAGCGTGTATCGATTTGCAGTTGGGCATCCATCTGCATTTGGGAGCAATCCGCAGCAGGGGTTCTGCACGGTCAATAACATTTCGCGCCTTGAATATAGACGACGGTGTTTCCCCGACCACTTTCCCTTGTCTAAACATAATCCATTATGCTATGATGATATTTCCTCGGAGTACCAAGTAATACCTTCCCTTTCTGATTAGTTCCGCATGTCTATAAATATCGGTGGCTGAGAGAATCGAGGAACTGATAAAAGGTCACTTTTTCTTATTAAACCGAGGTCGTCAGAAAGTGTGGTTAAACATGAGTAAGAATCATTGGAAAACCGAAAGTGGTTTATATTAAAAGGGGGACAAAGCCTAGTCGCCCTCTGCCTTGCTTGTTTTATATCGAAAGATAAGTTCTCAAGTTTCTTCAAGTAAATTAAGCCAACTTTGGCTTAATTTACTTGTAGAAACTTGAGAACTTATCAAGTTCCTACAATGTGTTGGGTACATGAACCAATTTAGTCAGCGTCGACACCAATTAATTTGGCCGATTGTTTACGATGATAATTCCAGAACGCAACTTCAAGATGCTCTGTTGCTGACCGACATTGCACGGTGATTTTCTCCCTGACAATCTCTGGCGAGGCCGCTTTGTCATTTTCTTTCCCGCGTTTTTATTACTGTTTCCCGTCCGGTGACCCGGACATACACTTGTCCAATTCCATTTGCAAAGCCGGATTTTGGAATTGTAAATTATTTCCAGATTGTTGTTCACCGAGTCGGATGAATAAGTTCAAAACAATCTAACCAAATATTGACACATAATTTACAGTTCTTATCAAACTGGTCTGCCCTGCAGTTAAAAAAAATCAAATACAATTTTAAGCAAACATACACTGTTTACAATATAACTATTAACCACAAGAAGACCCCACTGATCTCTCGCGTTCCTGTTCAATGTTGATCGTGCGCGTGACCATTGAAAGTCAACCAAACATGGTTGAGGGTTTGGGGTTGGGGTGACGGGGGTGTAGGCGCGTTCCAAATAAATGTAACGACTGTAAGCTGCTTTCTACGAATTTGCCATCCTTGGCTTCAAGTTAAAAATTTGGTTAGTAGGGGCGTAAGCCTTGCTTTTTGCAGACGGGATGGATGCGATTATGTCTTGCGAACAGGTGAATAGGCCTATGTCGCCGACAGAGTGCGTAGTTGTGGGGTTGATTTTCAAGCGCCGACAATTAATGTCCGGGCAAGATCAGAAAAACAGATCGCAGATAGTCAACCGAATGGTGAACATTAATTTTCAAAAATACACGCACCAATCAGGTTCGCACACAATCCTTTGCGTTTCCTTCACAAGATTTCTTCCGGCTGATCAACCGGTGTTCTTGTTCTAATGACGTATTGTTTATGCTAGAATAATTATGATGATGAAATAATGAGTGTTATTGCACTTTGTTTTGAAGAATGTTTATCTCTAGGGCGTAGCCCAAATTTCGGCTATACTATACGGAGTCCGATTCCTGACGCAACAGGTCAGCGTTTACACGGAACCGATCCTTGTGTAGCACAGTCTCAATCGTCCTATCGTGGTAGTACACGGCCACAATGGCAAAGTTATAGGCGCAGTCTATGCACATCAGCGCTAACGCCATCAAAGTGAAGCCATCTCCAAACTTGGCCAGGATCTCCTGGCCCGTGTAGCACATTAGCCCTACGAAGAGGAGCAAAAATATAAGCGAAACTTCCACAACCAAAGTGCTGATAATACAAAGTCTGATATCGCTGTAGACTGGCAAAACTTGGGATTTCAAATGCTCAAATTTCCTTTTCCTTGCGTCCAGTTCTGTTAGTCTGTTACTTTCGCTGGTGAGCGATTTTCCCGGGGCCCGCTCGAGACAATTGGTGATGAGCCTCATTCCAGCCTCCACTTCCTTGATCTTCCGTATTAAGTCGCGGTAGACAGGTAGGTTCTGGTCGACGTACAGCGACTGGGCGACTGGAACGGCGGCTATGATGAGCTCCATGACGTAAGCGGGCGTATGGGTGGGGCCAAAGACGCACGTGACCGCGTTCAAGAAGGCTACGAGCAAGAGTAGAAGGCGCGCAAAGTTGTTAACGTAGACGGTGGTGTTGGAGATCCACGTGAGGTCTCCAGAATTAGAGATGCAACGGCAACGGCTGGCGGCGGAGGCCACCAGGTTGCACACAAACTCGGTAGTCTTACGACCTGCCAAAGACAACCAAAACCCAAAAGTTCAATTTTATGCAAAAAACAAATTTTGAAGTTTCCCTCTTTTTTTTCTTTTTTTTTTAAAGATGAAAGTAATAAAGTATAGGGCAAGGGTAGTATTTGTTGTCACTGTGTTTTTCTTTACAAAAATACTTGATTGTTTATCTTTGCTTTCTATAGTTACCAAGGATGCCCGATCAAAACAAATGCCTGTTACCATAACAAATTGCTGTAAAGTTTTCCCAAAGTGCGCAGTTTTATTTTGTTGTGTCAAAACTGTTTATATTTGTTTAAATTCAACGAGATGATTCCTCGTCATCTGTCAAACAGAATACAAAAGTTTGCTGCACTTCGACTTTGTCCAAGGACATCATCAATAGATAATACAAGCTTTGTGGCATACCGCCTGCTACTATCGGATTAGTGCATACCAAAGAGATAAGTATAATGCATACAGCGATATGGCACACTTCCGCTTTCTGTAATTTTCAAGGACACTTGTAAACCTCAAACCACAACAGTGGCGGTTGTAGAATGATTCCCTCTATTACGATCAATGTTGGAAAAAAATAATTTTGAACAATATCAGGACAGTTTAAGGAATCTCCGTTCATTAAGGTTTCAGATCTGCTACAATCCCCAATGAAGTTCAGGTTCCCAAATTGTTAGAATTTGTCATCTGTAATTATTAAAAAGCAAAGAAATAAAGCATTGGGGGGGGGGGGGGGTCGTGAGTAAGACGCCTTACAGCTGTCTCTAACCATGGAGGTTCCTCGAGGCGCTTTGTTTTTTGACTCACCCTTTGAAGACGATAGACACGTGGCCACAACTTGGACGGGAATCTCAAAGTGCGCCGCCAGCAGCGCATCCACATCGGCTGGTCCCCGTGTTTTGCTCGCTATCGACGGCGACTCGCTTGTGCAAACACGGTGCGTGGATAATCCTCTAGCTGGATTAAGGGATTCCGGGGAGGGATTAAGTTCTGTTGTGACTCCACCGAAAACAGAGTCGGGGGAAAGTTTATCTGACAGTGATGACGTACGCGAAGTTGCATCATTCAAAACATCGGGTCTTTGTTTATACTCCGGGAGGAATGTTTCTGCGCATGTGCCAGGGTCTGCCCATCTTAGAGTCGAGGGCTGGAGCTCTGGGAACGAGTTCGACGGAAAAACGTCTGCCAACAAAAACAAATGTATACAAAAAATAGGTATAATCAATCTAGGATAAGTCAAGTAAATCTTAAAAAACGGAAAATAGTTTGTCATTCATAGCTTTTTACAATGATGACACAGCACTGATTTTTAGTGCTCGTGTGGTAGAATATTGCAAAGGAGGTTGTCATGTAACAGGAAATGTTCATGTAAAAAAGGAAAGCAATTGCAATGTTATGAAAACCAACAGACAACACAAATCAAAACCAGTTATCTGCGAATAATTTCCGCTCGGAAATGTTGAGCCAGATGTATTTTGAAAGCAGGCTGAAGTTTGTGGATTTTTGGCCATGAACATGGCTGCAGCCTGCGGCCGCAAATATTTTGAACCCAAAAGTTTGCCTATGACCTCATATCCTTGGCCTTATTTGCGTTTGCTGTAGTGTTCTGATATTTCCTGCATTACTACGTTTGGCAAAATCCATGGGGAAATTGCCGTTGACCTTTTGTGACCTCTCTCGTGACTAGAGAGAAACACACAAATCGAGGCCAAAGGGAATAGTCTAGTTAGAGAAAACTAAGAAGGTCTTGCATTATGTCCAACTTAAATTCAGAAGTGAACTTGGTTTCAAAACACGAAAGACGTAAGTAGACATTGTAAGAAATAACTAGGCTGGTACCAATGAATGAATTATTACGAAATTGGCGTAAGAATATCGTCTTGCTTAACGTCAGGGAACCACACGCTAACTGGCAAAATGTCCGGATGTTCTTTTGGTCGGCATTATTCACTCTTACAATATTTTCTACATAGGCCCAATGTAGCCCGAGTCAAGTAGATTTCTTGTAAACATTTTCACAATTTTTAGTGGTACGATACATTCGATGACAAATCAGATGTTATAAAGCAGTTACGCAGTAAACCTATGTAATTTAGACTGTGCAAAAAAGGAGTAGTTTTAAAGATTATCATAATTCAATAAAATAATTGTGATTATTTTGGGATGTCAAGAAGCACGGTCATGGTTTTGTTTCAACCCTTATCTTTGACTTGCAAATTAATCTTAAATCTAACTTTAACCCATTGCAATGAACTCACCTCGGGTCAAGATGTTGGTCCCTGTTCGATCTGTTTGTTTGTGTGCCTGTTGTACTATCTGTACCAGTGACTGTACCAATACGCTGAGGGCGTCGTACCGCTCACACACCCGAAGCGCATCGGCAAGTTCTTGGACCGTACCGTCCCATTCTACTAATGCCTCCAAGGTCGGCCGCTTGCATTTGCAACCCCAAAATCTCACCTGTTAAAAAAAGGAACATGGTTTATTAAATGTCCACATTTTTCACGGTCAAATATTGGAGGTGGGTCTATTTATCTATTTTAACTAACTCTCTGGACAGACTTGTTTATAGAAAGCTTTTTATAAACTTTATTAAAACATCAAGCCAAATGGTGCAAGTAGCCTAGACCTGTATCCATTTAAATTTAAAGATTCAAGTATCAAATGTATCCGTTATAAGCCCATAAGTAAATGGAATATTTCTTTAAATTACCGTTGTCCAATCATGTTCAACAAACCTGCAAAACATCAAAATCTGTCCTTAATAAAAACAGGGGGAAAGACATCCATGGCATGTTACCAACCCAAACCCTGCTGAATCCAACAGGATCCAACTATATCATAAACCCGTTGGAGCCTGTTGGATTGAGCAGTAAACCCCTTGTACATTTTGTACAAATTTATATAAACAAAGTCGGATTCTGTTGGGTACTGATAAATAACGCCATGTTAGACTCTGTTGGGTCCAGCAGTCAACTGAAAATTAGGCACAGTTGGATTCTGTTGGATGGAGCAGGAAATAACCGTTGGACTCTGTTGGATTTAGCAGGGTAGTCCTGAGGAACCAGTCATAGGGGTTAGGGATACATAAAAAGGAATTGTAAAATTATCCAACGCCACATGTTCTAAATGCTTCATTGAGAATTCGAGTTGACATGTCGTTCACAAATACTGTTTATGTAGGCCAATCATTACCAAATTGCCATGAACCGTCAGGCTTGATTCACTTCTTTAGACTTCCACGATTGGTTTACCAACCGGTCTGTGGTTGAGCCATGATTGAGCTTACCTCTTCCGGTTGAAAGCCGAGTTCTTCCAAGACCGCGCGGTAGTCATGTCCCAACGGTTGTTCCACGTCCAGCAGCGTGGACAGTTGGATGGTGGTACGGTAAAAGTTGGGCAGTGTCCGGTAGGCCGTCTCACCCAGCGTCGGTGGGGTCTTGGGATCCGGAGTCGAGTCAGTCGCCGGTGATGATGAGAGCATGGCTGATCTTGAGACGATCCTCCCACCGGCACCCCACGTCTCAGAGAGAAAGGAAGTACACAGATGGCCAGGCCAGAAGAAGCCTGGCCATGTCCATGATTTCGTTATATCCAGTCTAGTGTCGACGAAAATCCCCGTGTTTTGTTAGATTGTTTGTTCCTTTTGTCGCACGGCTGAACGAAGGAGGATAGTGGAATGTTGCGCCGTGGTAGCCCGACGCGACCAGCGTGGCAAGTGGAAATTTTATGTTGATGTTTGAGCGCATGTGTCAGGGACGTGCCAAACCACACGTCAGGTTCAGAGGCCAGATATCAACGACCTCAGCACACGGTGATACCATGGTGATACTGCTGCTGAACGAGCTCTTGGAAAACAGCGGCGTATATCCGGTCGCTAGTGCCGTGTGTAGTGTACACAAATGCCTATCTTGCTTCTTATTGCGTTAACAACGCTTCAAGGTCATTCGCGCGGCGAGGATTTAGCGGGGAACCCCCGCATGACGTCATCACTCGGTGGGGTCAGCCAGAGTCAACTAGAGTCACATGATACTTGCGATGCCATGTGGGCGTGTACGCACGTGACTGATGAATGCAACGCATCGATGAGCGAAAATGAAAGTTGACATAAAAATAGAACAGGCTATCGGCCAACGAGGGAATATAAATTCACTTATTTAGTTCCCCGTGTATAATATGGCTTTCTGCAATTTGGGGGTTTGGTCGGTATCAAATCAGCCTGAGGGAATAATGCTCATTGATTTTGGCAAGGTATCCACCCTGTGTAGTTGGAAATAGCATTGCAGCGGTGGCAGCTTTTTGCTATCACCTTTTTTTTTTGTAAAAATGATCGGTCGAAACATGCTTCTTACCACATATAATAAATCCGGTAACAACTTATTGGCGGCCATTTTGAAAAAACAAAATAAAATAAAAGTGATAAAACCACAAAAACTGCCAACGCTCACCCTGATTATCTATCACACATTTTTCAACTCTAGATGTTCATACCTTGCGACAAAAAATTGCTATGAGCATTGCTCCTTTTGCTCATTTTGAAACCAGTGGCCTTTTTGGACCGAAGCTGATAGCCCTGTAACTCTTTGTTTTTATGTGAAAGTACAGGTTCATGTTCCTTGCCCTATGGTTGATGTGGAAATAACATACGAACAAAGACAGATATGGTTTGAGTGGCAGTTTTCAACTTTGAGGCTTCTGGTTCGGGATAAAAAAAATAATAGGAAAGAAGCTCTTCATCTTACGTGCATGCAGTCTACAATTCATAAAAAAATATAGTAATATTTAAAACACCCATTGTGATCTAAAAATATAGAAGTGCACTTTTATAATTAAAACAAGTCCCACTACTAGATTAAAAAGTACATGCGTCATCACCAAAAAGAATAAGACATTATTTCCAATCTAATAGTTAGAAACTTATTTGATTTTACATATGTACACATTATTCTTGTACACAGGTGAAAATGAAAATAATATTCTAATATCGATTTTTTTTTTTTTTTTTTTTTACATATATACATGTATAACTGTACACAGATGAAAATGAAAAACAGGTATTCGGTGTTTTCAGGTGTTCGGTGACAGCACTTAAAAGTTTGTTTACAATCAAACAATATTTAATGAAAAATTCTAAATCTGATTATGTGTACAAAAAGCAAGGCAATAATGTACAATGTACATGTATATATTTGTTATGTACATTTCGTCAAGCGATGTATGACTCATGGCTCTTTCAAAATAAGATCTCGTTTACCATCACTCGATCTCTCCTTTTTGTTTCCAACAATTTGCTTGGACAATTGTTTTTTACAAGAAGAAGAACATAAGTGACCAAATTGCTCCATAAGACAAACACCTCCGGTAAAAAATCGGCTCACAATCTAAGAGGAACATGTTTTATAGTTCGTAGTTCCCCCGTGTCAAAATTTAAAAACGCAACCGATCCAGAAAAAAGCAAGAGCATGTTCGTGAACCTGAATATGGGAAACGAACATTTCTATTTGAATGGCCTTGTGGCACACCTGAATCAGAATTATCTCATCATGTGACGGACCGTGGAGGACTTTCCCGGAATACGGATTTTCCGGTGCAAGTTGGGCAATCTGCCGGAAGGGCAGGCACGTGAACTTGTGTGACGTCATTGTATGATAATAATGAGAACAACCTTTCCCTGATTCGCCGGTTGCGCGTACACTACCGCACGCGGCGCTATTACCAGACCACGATCGCGCAGACACTCGCGACTGGCACAGAGGGCGTGCGTAATGGTCTGTCGGATAGTTATGCCATTGTGGGTTAATAGTGCGAGCTATACTTTTGTTTTCGACTGAGAGTTGCAGCGAGAGAGGTCCCTTGAGTCATGACGTATCAGTGGCGCACCCAGGATTTGGTGGGGGGGGGGGCTCAAATTTTTTTTTTTTTTTTTTTTTTACAAATTTGTTAAAAGTTGATTTTTTTTCCAACAAATTTTGCCTAAAATTTTTGGTCGCAGAAATTTTTTTTTGGGAGGGGCGGCCTATTTTTGACGTTGGTGGCGCCACTTACACTCTTATTATACTACTCGAAAACAGGCCACATTCATATCACCAAGGCCAAATCGTGGGACTAAAAAAAAAATACCAAAAAAAAATTAAAAATTTGACAACATCGGGGGGGGGGGGGGGGGGGCTCAAGCCCCCTGAGCCCACTCCCCTTGGGTGCGCCGCTGTGACGTATCTTCGTACTTTTAAATGAGTGGCTTTTTGAAGACACTTTATGTTTCGCATGTGGGAAAAGCTATCATCACCCATGGAGGAAGCATCACCTCACAAGATACCACAAAAGACTTCCTCAATTAAGATTGCATAAGCTTATATGGTTCGTGCGGTTGGTTTGGGCCTGTAAGTCAACTGACAACATCCAATCAGGATGGAGCAAGGATGATACCAAATATGGACATGGGCGGAGCACAGCTACTTTTTATCACACTGATTATCATTGACCATGCGCAGTTTCTTATATGTACGGTCTTGAAATGCACGATATGCATGCCGCACTTTTTCCTGGAAAGTATAGTCTGATCAGGTATGATGACTGCGTCGTGAAATCATAATACATGTATATAAGTGCAAAATTGTTCTCCTTATAAACGAAAATAAAAACACCCATTTTTAAATACTGACACTGTCGTTCCTCTCATTTGTACTTCTATGTGTTCCTCCCTCGATAATGAAGCTGAAATCGTTGAAAAGTATTATCCAATGTCAGGTAGATCTCTCAACGCGTGAGGGCGTTCCACCGCCCTTGTAGTCTTCTGTGCGACGGTTACTTTAGTTTCAAGCTCCATGCCGGTTCCGACGACGACCGAACTCACCGCGTTCCCGCGGCCGCCGCGACGACGCCAGTACTGGAAGTGGTCGCGCAGCGCGTTCCTGAAGGTTTTGTTTTTGAACGTGTAGATGATGGGATTGGCGCAGGAGTTGAAGAAAGCCAAGACGGTGAACGCGTCTTGGAGGGTACTGAGGAGATAGTCCTCTGCGCTCAGGGAGCCGATCATGAAGGCGAACTGAAGAGGCCCCCAGCAGATGGAGAAGGCAACAATGACCACAAGAAGCATCTCGATGACCTTGCGGCGAGTCTGGAGCAAGGAGTAGGCCGGGTTGTTCCTAGAGTCGATCTGCTCCAAGAGGTTACACGCCTGCTGCTTGAGGGCTTGGATTGTCTTGACATAGGTAACCAGCATCACCATCAGTGGCACCAAGTACTCGATGATGAAGACGCCAATCGCGAGGAAATATTTAAAGCCGAGACCTCCTGGAACTTCGTACAGGCAAGTCCCTTCCGGGGAGGGGACTGTGCAGTATAAGTTGAAGGACTTCTCTACGGCGCCGAAAGCCCACATGCCCGCAATGAAGTACCAGGGTCGCGATTTGCTGAAGACCGTACGGTACCACAGAGGGCGGCAGACAGCTAGGTATCGCTCCACGGATAACATGGTAAGGAGGCCGACGGAGGCCACAATGGACGTCCACATGAAGAAATTGGCGAAGACCAGGCCGCAGTACAAATGGCCGAGGGCGCCCTGTGGTACCACCTCCAACTGCGTGGGCCAGGGGATGATGTTGGCAGAAGTGAACATATCGGTTATGGCTAGGGCTAGGATCAGAGTGTTGGTGGTATTCTGCCTCTTCTTCTTGCTGATGTACACAATGATCACAAGAAGGTTACCAACGACGCCAAAGATACCAAGGCAGAGTTTGATGATGGTAAGCCATTGCCAGTACACCGACGCCATCTTGTTTCCCCCTGCAACAGTTACCCTCGGTGTATCTTCAAAGCATCGCAGACGTGACTTTCTCACGAGACGCGATTGCACAGCGGTCGTCTGCCCTCTCTGTAGTATCGACTTGCTTTGTTTGTACACCTCAGTTATCATAGACCTGATCAAATACGGGAAAAATGGCATCGAGTCAAAAAAAGTCAGATAATCTTGTGTCGGTTCCAATTTATATATGTGTTGACACGGACCGTCGCAGCAGACCGTATTCAAACACTCGCGGACTTTATACGTATTTCTGCAAATACTACTGACAATGGGACACCTACGCGCGCTTTTCAGACCGCCAAAACATCATTCAATACAGGATTATGATAATTTTGGTTTTAAGATTTAGAAACCGTCCAATCGATATCCAGTCCAAAAATATAAAAAATTAACCCGAAACTAATTAAAATGTTAAATAACATTTAAAAAAAAGTAATGCTAAGAAAAAATTAACACCTGAATAGACAACGTAAGACATATCATTTCCAGAACGGATTTTATATATATATATTTTATATATATATATATATATATATATATATATATATATATATATATATATATATATATATATAAAATTATAGCAGAAGGCTTCTAAGATAGATTTTTGTCGTAAGGATGAGAAAATTTAAGCTCCGAAAAAAAAATGGAATGTGCAAATAAAATGAAGCAGTCGATGTAGATTTGTTTCCCATTGAAACAAATTTATGAAAAACACTGTTCATTTGCTTAGAATTTGGAATAAAAGTGTAAGCTGCTCAATGAAATGGGGAGTTTTAATTTTTGTTTCTTACATTTTTAAAAAGCCGGTCAAATATATCATGTCGTTTGACGATGTAAATGCGATTGTCTCCATCACGTCAAGACACACAGGCGTAAAACGCGTAGTTAAACATTTAATAAAGGGTATCGTGTTCGATACTCATTTTCTCCTCGTACAAATCTTTAAGATTTTGGTTTCATATTTTAATACGACAATTTGTCTGCGTGAGTTTATATCGAGTGCTTTGATTCCGGCTGATTTAATAAATAACTAAAGAGAAGGAAAAGGTCACGTTTTTGTATCCGTGATGACCAAAGAACAACGAATTCACGTTTACTTTCTCTCGAGAGAACGTTTTCGCCACATCCCAGACGAGAAGGGTGAGGCGCAGTGAGTAACGGGTGATTTCACTCTGAACATTGTTTGAGCTTTCAAAGGTTATTATTTTTGACTCAAATTTGGGAGGTTTTGTGCGCTGTGTAGGAAACACGACAGTGACCACGGTCACTTCCCAGTCACGTAGTTTTCTCATTCATCATCCACGCCGTGTCATCCCCCACGAGATGTTGACGAGCGCCCGCTGACACGGCCACACCGTACCGGCCACGGCCAATTAAAAATAACCATTCGGTAAAAACAAAAGCAGAAAAGAAGAAAAAACTAGAGGCACGGCAACACAAAACACACAAGCATACGTTAGTTTGTGATCCCGTCTGCGCAATCTCCGATTCTCAGCGTGGAATTCTCCGTTCATATCTTACTCCTTGAGAATATTTCAGTGAAACTATGGCAACGAGCGCACGAAGCCAAGGTTTTTTTTTTTCCTTTTGAGTTTATAATTAAAGAGCGGCGGCACGGTATGACTGCATTGTCAGTATCAATCACTTTTTGAATGATAGGACATGAGCTAGAAGGCAGACAGGATTCAATATAAATTGTGACAGATTGGAATGATAATAATAATCATACAATTTATTTTGGCTTCTGGGTAGACGCTTTGGTTTTATATTTGTTGTATTTTTGTCCCAAATTGAATCTGGTCACTGCAGTGATATTTTTTTCGCTTTTCGCCTCTTAAACCCACATTCACATCTCACCCAGACCCAAATGTAAATTAGGTTTTTCAGTCCCTGCCTCGGATAGGATATTTTTCCACCTGGAATTCCACGTCTTTCCCCCACCTTTTCATTTCATTGTCATTGCAATTTTATTTCATTGTCTCCTTCCTTCCCTATCGTGCTACCTGCGTTTGGAATTGCTCTCTTTTATATAAAATTATTATCGACCAAAATGGTTGGTAAAAAGTCACCTTTTATGCTGCTTTTTATCTTTGTGGTTCATTCATAGCCGGCCACACATTCCCATTCGGGTACAAAACACACCGCACCCGTAACCTGATTTGCCTTGTATATTATGGGTCGCCGATTCGTCATATAAAAACGACGTACATTTTACGCTTAGGGAGTCCGTTCGATTTGGCCACTCCATATCAGTTTCCATTCTTGACCCACTTATTTTCTCCCGTTATTTTATTATTTGTTTTTTAATGAAAAGACGATTTTTTTCACAATTTACTCTCCGTCTAAAAATTTACCAAAGCTATCTTTTCTTAGAAGAGGCATCTGATTTCATTTTTTTAATTTTTTTTTTTTAAGTAAAGTATGGAGAATTTGTTATCACCGCAGGAACTGGCGTTTGAAAAACATAACCCAATGACTTTCGAAATGCAACAAAAACAATCTTGATACCTAGTACCTGCACCACGATCGAACGGATGGAGATGGTCCGGACTGATTTATACAGCGCCTTCATTGGACAGTTTATGTACTGAGGTCGGAATGGCCTACTGTGATTGGATGTCAACCACTGACGTCAAGCATAAAGGTCACCAACGCTCCAATCGCGCCTGCGTCAGTTCAATTGGGCTCGCCCACAAACCTTTACGCTTTCGTACAGGATTGTGTATGAAAGTCTTGTGCACACAAACCGAACTTTTTTTCCATCGCGGCGTCGTAAGACAGTCATGCGCATGCTTAGATGTACGTCACCGGATTTGGGGTTGTCTGCTGCCCCCAAGAGTTCAAGACTCCCCTTATTGGTGTAAATTACCCTGCTCAGTGTTTCTAAATGGGTTTGTTTTGTAATGTATATGCGATTAAGGTATCACTCACACTGTCAATATTTTAACAACGCCACCGCTTGCCCCTATCGACATTGCCAGTGTCCGGTTTCTGAGCACACGGGAACAACCATTGATCACGGATAAAGTAACCTACCACCTCTGATAATTGGTGTGACCTTTTTACTGATGTGAATACATTAGTTTTGTTTCCACTGGCACAGCTACGGAGAAGTCAACCACGATTCATATTACTGGACAAAGAAAATTCAGTGGCCTGTTATTTTAGCCGTCTTCAGAGGCAAGTGACAAAGGAACTTTCCTCTGTCGTTTGCCTCCGAAGAAGGCCTTGGTACGGGTGAAATATCCGGCCACTTTAATTTGTTTTGATTTGTATATTTCAGGTCAATCCAGTCAGTGAGCAGTGTGCAGTAGCTTAATTCATTTTCATATTACCAAAAGTTGAAACGTGATATGTACCAAAGCTTTTAATGGTTTTCCTGATTTACAGTTTTTCTTCTTTTGGCCGGAATATTACTGGCTACGTTTTAATTCGGTGACTGTGCTAAAAACATTTTAAAAACTGATCTCCCTTTAATTGTAATTGTACATTACGAACTACGAAATTAATAAAGTGCCATTGCCACGGCCGAATGCCCTAGTTGAAAGCTTAATGGGCCTACATCCTCCCAGATAAAATCATTTTCTTTGTAGTATCGGGGTAAAACGTGCTCAAAATTGCTCAGCTTTGTGTCTGCAAGCACAGACTGGATACGGACAATGTGCGTCCATTAAGGTAAGAAGAGAGACTACAGAGATATTAAAATGCCCGGTGGTAGTCAGGTGCAACATCTCCTGGCGCCAACATGGCTCAATGATGTAGCGCTGAGGCGGGGAGGAGGTATAGGGATGGGGGCTGGGGCTACAGTGTAGATCATATCTATATACGCAGCTAGGTGCAAGGTACGGTAGTAATCGAAAAATCAATACATGTTTACATCGAGTGCTTGGGTTAAATTTGGGGGAAGCGAGAATAAAGGTATAATGGTGGGAAAGAATACAGGTTTTGAAAGTAGGTACATTTTAAAACTTTGTATTTTGAAGTCAACAGCGTAAGAATAGCGGCAGCAGCCTAAGATGTACCAATTTACCGATGAGCGTTCCCCTGAAGACAATCAGCAAATACTAGCCGAAACGTTGAGTCGTTTAACAACTTGATCTTGTCAGGGAACCGTCATTTGATGCCCAAGAGAGTTATTCTTATCGAGCTTCCGGAAAATTTCACGAACCTCAAACAACAATTGAGCCTTATTTGCTTATGAAGACCACTTATTTCATGAACCAAATCGATATACATGTAGTTAAGTTAAGTAAAACCAGTTTACCAGCAAGAATTGTGGCAGTGTACTCTAGTTTAGTTCAACGTGCTCTACTTTCTGGAACCGCCATCTGAAACCATTATTATCCCGATAGCAGCAAAACTAACTGACTTTTTCAATTACAAATATTCAAAAGGTAGACTTACCTATAACATCAATAAATGAGTATCTGCGTAGGATCTGGAGTAAGGATGTGATGAGTAGACGCTGGACAGAACGTCTGTAGTCCGGACGTAAATGTGTCATGTGTTGAATGGTTCATCACGAAACACTAAAATGACAGACAGAGACAGTATGAAATCCCGCTCAGCGCGACCCCCCGCGCTTCGTCTGTACCGAACGCTGATTGGCCACAGGGCGCGTGCATCGCGAGTGTTCAGAGACCGTACGGCCGCTAACGTTCAATATAGGAAAAAAAGTTGGTAAATAAGGGTAAGATTGATCACCGAATGCCAAGGTAACGAGGAACGATGAGAAAAAAGGAAGTGGGCTGGGTGATGCACCATCATGGTGACACTTTCTTTACTTACCCGAACATTACCCGGGTAAATGACAATAACATTTTCTTATAATGGGACATGGTGAGGCTGTGAAAGACAGCAATTTCTGCTGTTGACTTTGTGTCTCGAGATAATTAATTCAGAGCAAGGCGAACTGGGTGAACGCAGTTTATGTCGTAGAGTGAAAACGCTCGTGAAATGGACCTGCTTGTTGATATTAGAACTAGCTTGGGTATTGATAATATAGCGTGGATTTTCAAAATGTAAAAACTGAAATTTAAGGTATACTGGCCTTATTCAATTTGTTTTTTTTTTTTTGGGGGGGGGACGGGGCAGATGTGAGCAATCTATAATACAGGATGCATTCAAATACAATGTGATGACGTCACGTTTTGTTTACACTTGTGCCTTCTTATGGTCGGAGACGATGGTTTCATAGCCCCATAGAAAAGCGCGCACGTTAATAAAGTGTGACGTCATCTGTACAGAAGATTGTTGTTTCCAGCAAAGAAAGCGTCCATAAGTTTTTTGTCTTACGGTGGATAGCAGTATTACGCCCACAGCCCTACCTTTTGGTAGCTGTTAATACGTTTAAAAGAATTGCATGGTGTGGTTCTTTGAAGACATGACACATCAGCGTCATTGCGCACTCCGATACAAGCTTCAGGTAGGCAGGAGTGGATCTAGCCGTGCGAGTGCAGCAACACCACTGGTGTTAAATATAACACCGCAGAAGGAGAAATACATCGGTCTGCCGTAAGAAGAGATTCTACCTGGCCTTTGAGCCTGCCGAATTATTGATTTCACGAATTAATATCGCACAGGCCTCTGAAAGAGAAAAGAACAAACAAATACGAGCACCGAACAATTATTAATACTACTGTTAGATGTGATCCTGCACACTAAACCTTTTAAGAAATCGATTACTCCTCAGTTCCTATGCATGCTTATTTGTTTGAAAGCTAGAATCGATTATTCATGATATTACGCACCACCAATAAAATAAGTCAATTTGTTTATATTCTGACTATGATAATATTGTCACGATGACATCCTCATCATTATTGAACCACCGACTATATACACTTGGTTCAAGCAAGAGGGATGCACTGTTACGACAATAACATAGGACGTATTCAGTATAAAATATATTTGTGAACTACATGTTCCAATCATTTCATTCTTAATTGACTATAACTAAAAAAATCTTGCCGAAAAAAACTTGCTCAAACCACAAGAGGACGCTCAGGTTTAGATAGACATTGTTGTACACTTGTAGTTAATATTTAAATTTACCCAAACCGAATAGGACGCGTATTTCTGGGCGAACGAGGGCGCTATATGAAGACGCCATTTTATGAGTACCAAAAGACTGGTTTCCACTCCGATAATATGGAGACCAGTAGCTATAGTTCCCATTTAAAGCCATTGATTGGATCGCCTGAGCCCGTGCGCAGTACTTTTTTTTTAATTTTTGAAAATGATGTTTACTTCGCGCATGGATGACTGTTGAACACATGGCTATCAAAAACTGACTTTAGGCAAAATCGCCACAGTACGTGTCTGCTCGAAGGCTATTTCAAGCATTTCAACGGCATGGTTTTCAAATAACGAAAAGCAGTGCCCCTCTGTTTATTGCTAGCTGCCAGAGACACTTTCAAATTCAGCGGAAATCGGAACTCATCACCCCACAAACTGCCCATTAGGGGTAGCCCAAGTTGCCATTTTGCAATAGGCTGGTTCTGCGCTTAAATTATCGTTGAGATTTTGTATTTAGGGCCCGTGAATCAGACCTAGTTGCGTTATGGGTATATCTTCCTACTTCTACACATAATTTGCATACATTAGGAGGAAATTCTCCTAACTTATTCCTAAACGACAAAATAATATTATGTAATTTCATCTCCTTTTTTTTCACCCCGGAGATTAATTTCGTATGACATTTCTTCCTAAAAAAGATCGCCCAAAAAATTCGTGCGCAGTTACGAATTTAGTAAAACCTAGCCTTTCGTTTCGAGGTCAAACAGTTTCATTTGTGTGTGCGTGTGTGTGTGTGTAGTCTCATTAAAAACACTGTCCGAGGATACGATTAATCGCCTAGTCTTTATAAGGCTATTACTGTGGTCAAATACTACTCCCTCTCTCTCGAAAAACTCTTAGCACCATATAAAGGCCCAGAACAGAATGGATGTATTTGGTCACTCTTTAACTAGTTTCTCCACTGACCGCGACTTGTCAACGACATCTCTGTTTGTGAAAGTCGAGGGGGGTGGGGAAAGCTAATCGAGCGATGAAGAACAAATTACACGGGCCAGTGGTCTACAAAGCGTCCTGTCTTAAAGGGGAAAAGGAGAGAGAGAGCTATAGACACGTCAGGGGACGATGCCTTATTTTATGCCTGACTGCAAATCTAAGTTAAATGACTTTTTGATGGAGCATAACAGATCGAGAGCACTTGATATGCAATTCGGCAATAGGCCTTTTAAGACACTTGACGGTTGCTCGAGCGGTTCTTTTAAGAGGCACACTTGATTTTGTTTAAATCAAAGACGAAAGACTATAGAATGGGATGATGGAGTTGATCCCTAGACACCATTCTGTCCTAGGCACTCTTGTTTGTTTTTTTCGGTACAATAATTCTCCGCCAGTTTGTCTTCTAAACGGTAAACACAGCCTGATCTTGAAAGGTTGAACAAACATCAACCCAAATACCGAGGTGTGCATATTACTGTGACGTCATGGTGAAGTCATCAGGCATCAAAGACCTTTGTTTTGTTTTAGTAAATCACACGAAGCATTCAATATTTATATTCTAGTCTATTTTCTGATCTTGTTTCGACGTAATTGATTGCAGTCGTAAGTCACCAGTTTGCCTCCGCCTTATTGCAGAAAAGTATGTGTTTTTTTTACAGTGATAGCCACAAATCATTCTTTCATTGGCTCATAACAGAATTTTATCATGGCCATGCAAAATACAAAAGCCATAAAAAAACACTTATTTTAGATAAACTTAAACATTTGTAAATTATGTTATATAAACTCATATGACGTTAAACAGGCTGCGTAAAGCACCAGAAATGATGTTCAAGAAATTAAGATCGTGACTTTAATATAGTCATTGTTTCTCAAATCCATCCTTCAGGGTTATACCTGGATCAATGGGGGCGCTGTTCAAATCCGAGGAACATTATTGCAGAAAAGTGTACAAAATACCCCCGAAACCCAGATGTCTCTGTCCGAAGTGTGTGCACTGATGGATATATACCCCCTCTGGATCCGCGCCCGAGTAATTGGTTCACGGTCTATAATTTTTATTGTGACAATTAATTACACTGCTTAGGTATTTCGTAGAAGTGTGCATCTTTATGGAACAAGGCAGCTACCCCCAATCCTTTATTTGTAATTGAGAAACTGTTTGGTGCCAGAATAAAGTAAACCATACTGACACAAGACACTCTGGATCGTGGCTTTTCTTTCGACGGTTCAATTAATTTGAAACAAAGTAAAAGTGCTTCTGACAAAACTAAAGCTGTAGAAAAAAAATATTTTCTACGACTGTTGAATTCCCTGCTCGGATGGGGATGGGCCATTCTGGTGGCTGTTGGATAAAAAATGGCGGTTGTTAGTACTTATAGTGACCACAGAAAAACATGCAGACACTCGCCTTTATAACACTCACTGGATGCATTAACCTCTTTTCTTGCTAAAAATACACATACCTTCGTTGTATTTGCATGCGCATTTGTGGGGTAACGAAGTCGATTTAATGGTGCATTAACGTTCTGGTCGATGGCAAATATATCACAGCTTTCGTTTTCCAAAGACGACAGTTTGTTTTAAAACTGGGGTAATTGTGACTGAAAAGACGGCTAATGGGATACAATCAGACGACGACGTTAGCGGACCCCTCCCCCAAACAAAAAGCCCACCGGGCACTTAAACAAATCCCGTGTTTAAAGACTGTTTGTAACCTGACATCGCAATGTGAAAACAGGAACAATCCTTACAGCTTCTTCAGATATCATTGGTTTGTTTTGCGCCGAGCCGCTTCTCTCTGATTGGCTATGGTTGTCAGGGGCGCGTATAGACGCGTGGGTGTTTGAATATTCAAATCAAGTTCAGGTCACAGGGACAATCGCGCACTACTCGTTCTCAGACTCTACATCATGCCCATTGCCCAACGATACGCGATGGAGGAAGTGTTTGGATTGAGGCAGATTTTCGAGAAGATAATTGGCGCGTGTTTTCTTTCCTCTTCGCGGCACGGTAAAGGGGCGATTCTCTCCCCATGGGGACAGAGAGTGTTACTTGTCCTTATGGATGCAGATGACCAGAGGGCTGAATTAGGGAAGGAAGATCGAGACAGTTGCCTAAGGTGCATAGAACCCTGTGTGATTTAGTACAAGAGTCGTCGAGCTGTGAATGCAATCCCTTGTCTTCGGATCAAAGTCACGGGTCTGTACACACCGATGTGTCTTCCTCCAAGGAGGAAAGCTTGTCAGATCTTCAAATTACGCCACTGTGATCCTCACGGCAAAGGTTACGTCAAAATAGCCTCAAACAATGGAACGACATTCCTCAAATAAGGCGTGCACGCTACCCTCTTCTTTCAATTTAGTTCAAACTTCATAATTATTAAAGACTACAGCGAGACCTATCCATACTGATTTTATTTCTGATCCCAATGCATGTAAAACATTCGCCATGAAACAACTGAACAAAAAAATCTGCAACTGGAACCACATTCAAGCAGGGCATATCGGTCTAAGTGCTATTACCAAAAAGGGGAGAAGAAGCTAGAATGAAGAACTAACAACAACTGTGCCAAATGTGTCATGTATGCAAAAGTTCCAGTTGTTTTCGCATTCAAAACGATCTTTCAAAATAACAGGAACAACCAGATTGTTGCTGCTTTTTTTTAAATTAATTTTGCAAACATTCCGTTTCGTGGAGCTCCAGTTTGAAGTTACCGAAGGTACAGGACCTAGAAAAGAAGACGTCCTCGATTAGAGACTGTCGTTCTTCTCCCAACGAGAGATATTTGGAACATCTCAACATCCTCAGAATGAAAAACAAAATTTGAAACACAAGACACGAACGGCTCAGGTGAAACGTGGGCAGTTAATTTATTAAACACATCCACTGTGATCGAATACAAATAATTAATCAGTGTGGCTAGGAGACATAGTGTGCCCTTGTTACTAGCCAAGTACTATTTGGTTACTCTTTCGTTCTGGTGGCGGCGTGCTTGGTTAGTAATTGGCGCAACTACAGGTGTCAAATTTGATCATAACTGCATATACCTTCAATACCTCTCCTCTAACGAGTCGTATTTGAATAGACAGGGGACGAGGAGTGAGGAATTCAATTACACCGTTCACATGACGTCACTGTCAATACCAACAGCGCCCTCTGGTGTTAAGTGATAAAAGTGTTTAATTGGTGCGATGGGTTTAACAAAAACATTTATTTGCCGTTAATAATTGGCACCGTCCTCTGCAGTATGCCATTGTATATCAATTGTGCCATTAATAAAAACGAGAAAAAAGTCAAAAGCTATGAAGGATCGCAAAGTATTTGGAGGGATTCGAACCCATGACCTCCAGAATACATTCGCTGAATGACAGGGGAAACATTGAACACGAGACTTCAGTTTAAAAATGTGCCGAGACCTATCAATGTATCTGTACAAAGCAGTGAAATACAGATTCAGGATTCTACCTAATAACTTGGGTTAAATTGCCTGACAAACAGCGCCCGCATAACAGTTTGTAGTAAAAACCGTGAATCATACCAATAGACTATAAACACGTCCAGTTAGATT